AAAGGTTGTTTTTTAATGTTTTATTTGATTTCCTGAAAATAATTTTAAAATATTCGCCGAGACTATTTCTGCATATTTTCGACTTCAATTTTGCAATAAAAAGTACACCGATTTTGAAAATTCAAAAAAACAAACATTGTCCCAATATTACAAAAATACATTTGTTTGCGTAAAGATTGTTTTAAATTATTCTTCGAAGGACATCTATAGAAAAGTAAAGAACGGAATTTGTGACAAAAACAATAAATGCAGTTTGTGTTGAATATTTTCCCGAATGATATTAAGAACAATAATAATTCTTTTAAAATAGTACATTTCAATTTTTTACATTCTTTTTCTTTTTATATGTCATGTCCTTTCAGGGCTTGGGGCGATCATGGCTTTTTACTTCGCCCCTATCCCTTGTATCTCTCAATAAGTTCCTCCCTCTGCCACCTTCCCCAGACCACGTTCTATCATCTACTTGTTTAAGCCCGCCAGGTATGTCATTCATTGCTTTACCATCTCTCTCTTTCCCTTTATTTGACTTTTGAATATCAGATTCTCCAAGCCCTCCTTTCTCATTACTTGTACCAGAAACCTCAGCTGTCTCTTCCTGATGTTAAGTATAAGCCTCCTTCTTGTTTGTATCCTCTCCAAGACCTCATCGTTGCTCATACGCTCGGTCCATGATATCCTCAGCATCCTTCTGTAAAACAATTTTTCCGTTGCCTCGAGTCTCTTCTTCATCTATGAGGAGACCGTCCAACTTTCGCTGCTATAAAGGAGGACAAATATCACTTAACAGCTCAGTACTCTGTTTCCAAAGAGATCTTCCTGTCTCGCTAGACTCTGTCCAGCTTTTGGAATGCGTCCTTCGACATCCCAATACCTCTACGGATCTCAGTGTTGCACTTGCCGTCCTTCATTAAAACGCTTTCCTGATATTTAAACTTCCGCACCTTCTTGATTTTAGTGTCCCCGACCTGTAAATCGCATTTCGGGTTAATCCAAAACGATATAAACAAATATTATTCCAGCTGTTGAACGATTATTTGTAGGCGTCACCTAGATATTTTAAATCAAGGTGGAATTCTATGTTAGGCTCAGTTGGTCCTTAGCTATTTGAATTTTACTTACTTTTCGCTCACATATGACTTTAGTACTCTTATTCATTCAGTTTTAGCTTCATTATTACATTTTTATACTCATGATTGTCTGCTTCCCCATAGATCTCTTTAGCGTTTTTAAACTCTTCTCTATTTTTCATTTCTACTCCCTCTAATAGTCTGTTCCTTTTCTTTTTCTTTAATTCAATATTTTCTTTACTGTTTACAATTTTTTCTTTTTTTTTACTACTTATCACAAATTATATATATATATATATATATATATATATATATATATATATATATATATAAGGATCGGTCCAGAACTAATAAAAATACAGGTCTCCAGAAGTATATCCGTCACCGTCTTTCAAAATGGCTGTCACTATGAAGTTCATGTTTAAAGAAGACAATGTTGTTTAATTTTAGTTTTGCCTTACCAATTTATTTCATTATCTACGGAAATGGTTTTGCCATAAGATGTACAAAACAAACACGTTTAACTGATACACGAAGTATAACTTAGATGGGGATCAAAGCAACTAACCCTGCCGGTGATTGATCTAACTCACTCCTCAGCTGTAACTGATCTGCAAGATAAGCTTTTATAGGGATTTATTAAGTGTCGCTTAGATATGACAAAAGGCCGCAAATATGTGGAATGGGGTAAGGATCGAACTCACTACTAAGCGATGCGAGCATGCTGACAATTACACCACGTCGAAGTGTCCACCATTTAGCAAACTTAGCTTTATTTTGTTACAGGGTCACTAGTATGGGGTACCAATGATGGCCGAACTTACTACTTAGTAGTAATGCTCAATAACTCGATATCCACTAGCCCAAGCAAGATGCCCAAGACAAACACCTTCAAACGGTGAGCGTTGAAGTCTGTAAGAAGATGTATGCAACAGAAAAGGAAGAATATTTTCTTTATATGTCAATTTGTGGAAAGAAGTTGAAGAATAGTAATTTTCCAAGCGTCGCTTAGATGTGGCACAAGGCCAAAAGTAAGGGGCACCCAGTGAGGATCTAACTCATTACTCAGTTGTATTTGTTCCCGCGAGACAGGCTTGCTAACCGTTACACCGCCTCGAGAAGGCAAAGGATATGTGAAGTAGAAGTTAACACTAATCACAAACACAATAGATAATCAGATCTATTTATCCTTTACTTAAAATCAAGTCTTCATTTTCGGTAGCCTATTTTCTTATGCATTTCTGCCCGTCTGTCGGAAAAGTACCATATACCTCAAATGGCTTGTGATGCTATTGTATATGAAGATACTTTAACTATTTAAAAGTGTGGGTGTGTGTGTGTTATTTCGGTTGAGCTCTCTGGGGAAGAGGTATGAGTTTGTAAACAGTGTCTATTACAGCTAATAATGCAAGACTCTTCGGTAAAGCGAATCGAGTTGTCTCAATCACTGTGTGTTTATCTAAAAATAAATATGCTTAATTCCCCTTCATCGTGCGCCAACGGCTTAGGGGTAGAATCTCCGACTGACGACAATTCAGTCCTAGCTAGAGGCAACCTGACGTCTAGCCACACTGATGAGCTGTGATACAGCGAAACAGTCTGTCTGTAGATTAGTAATATATATATATATATATATATATATATATATATATATATATATATATATATGTTTAAAAATATGATTCCTTCGCTACATAAGAGTTCTCATGTTTCTAAAACGAGAGCCGAAACCATCCAAATAATTATTAAAATTAAATTGAATTGAGGTGTTTAGTCCCATTTCATCTTCAAGCGAAATTTTAGGAATAAGCTATCTCTCGGTTTGCGTGTGTTTTAGGCATGGTCCGTTACAAAATTCGTTATTGTAGGAGTGGCTAGACTATTTTTCTTCGTTAAGTGGTCAAAGAGTTAATTCTTATCAATAGATTCATCATCTTCTGAGAGGTTTTGCTAAGGTTGGGTAGGGTATCTATTTCAAGGCTAATGTTTGCGGTCACCCTTTAGTTGGTTCCCAGTGAGGGATATTTTTATGGCGCGCCTACAAGTCGTTATGTGTCGAGAGGATTGTGTTTTATTATTGTCCATCTGATTATCTATTTATTTATTTGTTTATTTAAGTGGGTGTTTTATATACAAATCGTATTGCACTGAATTTCAATTTTTTTTGTTTTTTGACGACTACAGAAAGAGCTTTTCCTATTTAATGATTTGGCTAAGCTTTTAAGACTTTTATTTAAGTATGGGATTATTTAATGCGAAAGTTTGTTGATGTCGGCAAAAAAACCGTTAACTTCTGCCTATGGTTTAATAATTTTTAATTATTTAGAAATTTAATGATATGTAGTTTTTCGTGTAGGCATAAAGGGCATGGGTCATCCCAGGTTTTACAAGTTGTTGTTTTATTTACTATTTTCCATTTTACTTTTAATATATATATATATATATATATATATATATATAGAGAGAGAGAGAGAGAGAGAGAGAGAAAGAGAGAGTCTTTAAATTCGTTGGGAAATGTAGGCCGCAAGATATCGTTGCTAGTTCTGTAACAAGCCAGTTTTTAAGTGATTAGTTTTTTAGCCTACTGAACAACCCCAACCTTGAGGGTCGGTTTTAAATTCAGAGTTACCTTTCTCCTAGATCAGTTGCCGCCCAAGGAACCCAGTCTGTCCTGCTATCTACCCATAGCTGGTCGGGAGAAAAAGAGGATTCATACCTTTTCCACGCACGTAAGTAAATGGAATTGATTCGACTGGAATTCGAACTCGCCTTTCCGATTCCGCAATCCGAGCCGCTATCCATTACTCTACAGTGCATCCTAAATGCAGTTTATTTACTTTGGAAAACGATCCACTTTTTAACAATCTAAATTTTATTCTCGATAGGGAACATCCATGGAAAGTGATGGACAAATCAAAGATAAATAAATGGAGTTTATATTAATCTTTATAATTGTTTTCCTCCTTTATTTTTACGCAAGATATCTGAAGTTTTTTTTAAAGGATTTTCTTTCACTAACCGCTTCCTCAAAATTGTTCACTGAAACAAAAAATAAAACCAGGTAGAGAAATTGAAAGTTTTTATCTTTCATTTCAAAGTCCGGTTACAATGAAAACCACTTAAGAAATAAGTCATTCTTGAAGCTTTAAATCTTATGTATAATGTTTCATGCGTTAGCCTTTATATGTTGAAACTGATGCGATTAAATGAACTCTAAATTAACGACGCTATAATTTATAATGACCACAAAATCATAAAAGTGCAAATTAAACACTGATTGGTAGAATTTTAATGATGATTCTTTATTAGGTCTGTAAATCTGGAAAGTGGTGTCCAGAATTTGTTCTGATTGCACAATTTTCCATTTATGGCATGTGATATCAATCGGAAATTCTTAGCTGATAAACCGACTTGGTGGGAATTGATGCAAATAAGAAGATCGTTTAAAATAATCAAAAAGAAGAAGAATTTATTGAGAGTGATTGTTTTTGTATTACTAAAACTGTAAACATTTGAGTCGATATCTATCCTCTTGTATCGGAGATGTACTAAAGAGTAATTTAATTCAGTTGATATAGTTAATTATTTTAAGATTACTGAAGAAATGTGGACTATTTCTCGGAACTTAATAGAAGCTCTAACTTCTGATATACCAACCTCATTCCAAAACAACGTAGATCAGGATCATATTCACATGATTTCATGAATTTGTACTTTTTTTTTCAGAAAAATCCAATCGTTGACTATCGAATAAGCGGAAAATATTATTCCAAGCTTGGTAATGGAATGTCTCATGTGTACAAAAAGGGCCGGCCTGTTCCTGGGGCTTAAATCGAAGAATCTATTAACGCAGATAAGTTCCAACGGAGACACAGCTTACAGGGACTAGAGTGGAATGCCATTAAACAAAATATTAGAACATACTGCGATTGGATGGGGAATGAGCATGAGATTGGCAGAGAAAGTCGTCCATTGCCCTCAGCAAAAGCACAGATTTCAGGTAAATGCACACATCTTGTTATTCATCATCATGCTTTATATATATATATATATATATATATATATATATATATATATATATATGTATATATATATATATATATATATATATATATATATATATATATATATATATGTATATATACGTGTGTGGATATATATTTATATATATGTGTGTATGGATATATATGTGTGTGTGTATATATATATATGTATATATATATCTGTGTATATATGTGTGTGTGTATATGTACGTGTGTGTATAAATATATATATGTAGTGTATATATATGTGTGTGCGTATATATATATATATGTATATATATGTGTGCGTATATATATACGTGTGAGTTGTGTATATATATAAGTATATATATATATATATATATATATATATATATATATATATATATGTGTGTGTGTGTGTGTGTGTGCTACTGGCTTATCACCATGCACAGGGGTTCGAAAACATATCTCGATTTATCGATTTTCTATAATCTCCTCCATCGTCTTCTGTATTCTACCCTTTTCATGGCTATATATTTACTCCATTATATTCCGTTTAAGTTATCTATATATATATATATATATATATATATATATATATATATATATATATATATATCCATCTTGTTCCGTCTATTTATATCTGTCAATATGTTCATATCTATCTCCATATCTATCTAATATATGCAAATTCCAGCTATGATGATCCATCAGATCATAAATGCACACGCACACATAAAATATTATATATATATATATATATATATATATATATATATATATATATATATATAGAGAGAGAGAGAGTACTTAGTGGAAAGTACTCACATATTCACTTGTATGGGTATTAGTTTGTAATCTTGGATTTCACGCTTTTTGCGATCATCAGACAAACTGATATATTATTTTTTTTTTTTTAAAGTGGATCTATTTATGCTTATATGTGTTTGATTATTATTATTTTTTGTGGTGGGGTAATTTTCTTCTGTTTTTGTTTGGGATGACAATCTCACACAATATAGACACACGTACATATAGGTGTATGTTTTTTTAGTCCTTACAGACACATCCATATAAGTTATCTCAGTTACACATCCATGCGTTCGAGCATAAATATATACACAATTGTCATTCTCTGTCGGTATCGAGACTTTAGCGTTTACGCACACACCTACACACACACCTACACAGACGCACGCACACACACGCACACACACACATATATATATATTTATATCACTGTTGTGGTGTCCTTCCTCTTAAGTCTGTATGTTAGACTCTTCCGCCTACTATAAGTTTAGTAGGAGAGAAGGTTCTGGGAACAGGGAACAGTGAATAGATTGAGTTCATTCGATACACTCTCAGCAGTTGTGTGATACTCTTCTGGTATACTTACTGTTTAATATACGATATACATGCATATCTGGATTTTGTTATTACTTAACCATTTACTGAGTCACAACAATTATATACAGGATTCGGAAGAGATACCTCTCAGAAATACTTCCCATACAAGGGTAACAGATTAGCTAGAACAAGACGCCAGTGGCATTCTTACCATTATGAGAGAGGTATTTCCGGGAGATATTTCTGTCGTATCCTGTATATATCCGTGTGTGTATAAAAATGCAGATATAACTAAAATATATATGTAAACATATAAAAATAAAGAGTAAATGATAAACATTTATATGTCAATGCGATTTATCCTCTGTTGGACTTTAACAAGGCAAATATAATTTTGCAACAAGTATTTATAAGCAGAAGTAAATAAAAATAAAGTTTTTAAATTATCAGCGCTCAAGAATACCGATCGGTCGCTTATCCCATCAGGCCTGTTTTGAATTCAGAGTTTTCTTCTTCTAGACCGGTTGCCACCCAAGGCTATAGAACCTAGTCTGTCCTGCTATTTACCCATAAATGATTGGGAAAGAAGAATATTCATACCTTTCCGAAGGGTATTAGGATGTAAGTGAATGTAATGCATGCGACTAGAATTCGAACTCGGCTCCCTGATTATGAATCCGTTATCCATTACTCCTCCTAAATATACTTCAGGCTAACAGAGTCAAGATAAACTGTGGAAAATGCCACACACACGCACACACACACACACACATATATATGTGTGTGTGTGTGTGTGTGTGTGTATATGTATGTATATGTATGTATGTATGTATATATATATATATATATATATATATATATATATATATATATATATATACACGCACGCACACATTATGTATATATCACACGCACATATAACTGAATTTTGAGTCCTTGCTTGCATGTTAGGAAATTCCTCTTAAGCACATATGAGGCAGGATAAAAAAAATTTCAAAAATTCAATTAACGTCTTACTGATACATTTATAATACCTTTGTTTTCCTTCTCTTCGCTGTTCTTTTTCTTGTTCTCCTTCCTTCTTCACATCCTCCTCCTCCTCCCCCTTTTCTATTACACCCAACATCGGACGTTTCTTTTTAAAAAAAATAATATAACGTTCATTATATAAAAATATATATCTCTGAAGAAGCCTCCGCAGGTTTTGAATGGAGAGTTGTCTTTGTCGCAGACCAGTTGCCATCTAAGGCTATAGAACCCAGTCTTGCTATTTAACCATAATTAGAGAAGAAAAGGATTAATAACTTTCCCAAGGGGATTAGCACGTAAGTGAATGTAATGGACCCGACTGGAATTTAAACTCGCCTTTCAGCCGAAATTTTTTCGTAGACGCAAGTTCCGTCTATGCCAATATTTATACCGTCATTGATAAAAGGATCAGCTCTTTAGAGGTGAGATGTTCTCTTCTCGAGAGTTTTTTCTCAACTGAAGCGATTTTCTTCATCGAGATTTGGAGAAAGGACGGTGAGAGATTCGAACTTGCTGGATGTGAAAGGGGTTGACTTAGCGTTGTTGTTGGATGTTAGAAAGGAGAATTTTGAGCCTCTAACCTAAATTAAGAATCATCCCAGTTCATGTTAGCGTAGATTAGGACAGTTTTTTTTTTTTTTTTTTGGCCTTTTTGGGTTATTTTCAATAGGGAAATTCTTCAGTTCGACATTCCAACCACCTGAAGAAGGCTGGAGCGTACAACGGCCGAAACGTTGTGATAAATATGGCGACAAAGATGAGGACAATAAATGTACATAATACCTCATTTCAGAAATATAGACAGACTTGGATGTTATAAAATGAATGCACCCAAAAGTCATATATCATAGAATGAATACACCACATCAAATATGTAATATTTGTCTGTATCATCAGCAAATCAAAAGATTTTGTTCTTAAAAAATTATTATCCTTACATTTGCCCACGATTACAAAAAAATTAACATACTCAACTATGAGGTATATCTATGACAAATAGATAAAGAAAACCTTTTCAGAATACTTTAAAATTGATACACTGAAGATAAGTGATAACAGTAAAAATATACACGTGACGTCTACATAACTAATTTGACCAAAAGAGCAGAATATTCAAAACACCACAAACTCCGACCATGAAAATTTGTGATGAAACTAAAAAAATAGTAGTATCATGTAAAATTTATAAATTTTTACTTGTCCCTTATTCATATATATATATATATATATATATATATATATATATATATATATATATATAACACTAATAGTTGTACTCGGTTGGTAAAAAACCCCAAAAACTCGGATGGCACAATTTGCAAGTATATCAAAACAAATTGGTATTGGTGGAAAAATTTGAAAAAGAAAGAAATAGAAACATGCGAAAAGGGCGAAAAAATCGTCCAGTGCCTTAAATTACCAGTACTACCCCCACCCACCAAAGAAAACCCAAACGATAACTAAGATAAAACGTAGAGTGCTCAATACGGTAATTAGAGCAAAGATAAATAAAATAAATCCTAAAGTGACGAACTACCTACCTAGGTTACACCTAAGAAGATCTTCAGAGTAAGCTAGGTAGGTAGTTCCCCGCCCTTTATATATATATATATATATATATATATATATATATATATATATATATATGTGTGTGTGTGTGTGTGTGTGTGTGTGTGTGTGCTATCTTTCTGTAAATATTTATGAAATATATGTCTATATTTCTGTGATGAGTTATTGTAACGATTCACATCATTCGGACTGTTGTTCTCATCCTTATTGCTATATTCACGACGTTTCGGCCGTTGTACGCCCCGGACTTCTTCAAGTGATATAAGTTGGAATTTCGAACCGAACCCTTTATTAATCTATGGGGCTAGAACAAGCTACTAATTACACATGTCATGCATTTTTGGATATCTCAGTTTCAGGTAATTTCTTTTACTGACTCAACTCTACATGTTTTTGTTCCCTTTACTTTGGCCAGTTATTGAACTCACAAGTCTTTGAGTCAAGTCACTTATTGGATTACTTCAACCAATCAAAAGCGTTGGTTGAAGTGAATAAATGGTTTGAATTAAATAAATGGTTTGGCTCGAAATTCCAACATATATTACCTGAAGAAGGCCAGAGCATACAAAGGCTGAAACGTTGTGAATATGGCAATAAGGATGAAGACAGCAATCAGGATAGTGTATGAAATATGGAAATTATCCAGCTTTTTTTTAACATAAGACATTCTAATGAGAGATATAGATCCTTTGTTATTTTCAAGCTATTCCTTTCGGACCTCACAGGATTACATGGTATCACTTCCACTTTTCACAATTCCTTGCAAAATCACCTCCCGTGATCCCCATCAACTGCTTTGTTGCATTAATGTCAACAGCTCTTCAACTGCTATTTAGTAACAGCCAGCAGGTATAGAAAATATGTTTGCAATGTAGGTTTGGGTTGACATACTTAGTGAAATGTTATTTCATCCCTACAAAAGAAATTCTTTCATATAGGTCACTTTTATTCCGTATCTGTCTATCTATCATTTTCATCAATATATTAATGCAACGTATTCCTAAATCATTTATCTCTTCTTCTAATCCTACGTTCCATTTTCTGAAACATTCCTAATTCAGATCAGCTACTAACATGAAAGATCTTCGTAACAGCTTGATCCCTCAAGAAAACGATCTACCTTTCATATTCAGCTAGCTCAACTAATAGGTGGGGCGTTATTGACCTCGATGACTGTTCTTGTTCGAATTTGTTCAGTCGGTAATGTAAGAGATTCACTTATGCCATTCTTCACAGCTGCCGTTCCTGAACATCATATTACGATTAAAATGAATCTGTTATTAATCGACAAGCTAGTGACTCTTCCTATCATCAACTCTATTATTAGCATTGATAAATCCTTCTTGCAGAGCATTACTTAACGCATCAACCATTGCTTAAATGAACTTTGGACATCTGAGCGCAGCAAGACTACATAACCGACACACAACTCACTCACTTCGTCTTCCATCAAATAATAAAGCTGATTAGTAAATTATTTATTGATATATTCATGATACTGTTACTTTACCATCTCTTTCATTCTTTCTCTCTCTCTCTCTCTATTTCTTTTCATTTTTCTCTCTCTCTCTTCTTTTCATTCTTTCTTTCTTTCTCTCTCTATCTTCTTTTCATTCTTTCTCTCTCTCTATATATATATATTTCTTTCATTCTTTCTCTGTATCATTCTCTCTCGCTCACTTTATCATTCTCTCTCACTCACTCACTCACTCACTCATTCAGACACTTTATCACTCTCTCTCACTCACTCACTCACTCACTCACTCACTCACTCTATTGTTCTCTCTCACTCACTCACTAACTCACACTATCATTCTCTCCCACTCACTCTATCATTCTCTCACTCACTCTTTCATTTTTTCATTCATTTTATAATTCTCTCACTCACTCACTTTATCATTCTGTTTCTCACTCACTCTCTTTATCATTTTCACTCACTCACTCAATCGTTCTCTCTCACTCACTCTCTCTGTATCATTCTCTCTCAATCACTCTCTCTCTGTATCATTCTCTCTCAATCACTCTCTCTGTATCATTCTCTCTCAATCACTCTCTCTCTGTATCATTCTCTCTCACTCACTCTCTCTGTATCATTCTCTCTCAATCACTCTCTCTCTGTATCATTCTCTCTCACTCACTCTCTCTGTATCATTCTCTCTCAATCACTCTCTCTCTGTATCATTCTCTCTCAATCACTCTCTCTGTATCATTCTTTCTCGGTCACTCTCTCTCTGTATCATTCTCTCTCACTCACTCTCTCTGTATCATTCTCTCTCACTCACTCTCTCTCTGTATCATTCTCTCTCAATCACTCTCTCTCTGTATCATTCTCTCTCAATCACTCTCTCTCTGTATCATTCTCTCTCACTCACTCTCTCTGTATCATTCTCTCTCAATCACTCTCTCTGTATCATTCTCTCTCAATCACTCTCTCTGTATCATTCTCTCTCAATCACTCTCTCTCTGTATCATTCTCTCTCACTCACTCTCTCTGTATCATTCTCTCTCACTCACTCTCTCTGTATCATTCTCTCTCAATCACTCTCTCTCTGTATCATTCTCTCTCAATCACTCTCTCTGTATCATTCTTTTTCAGTCACTCTCTTTGTATCATTCTCGCTCTCTGTGTATAATTATCTCCCTCTATTTCTCTATATCGTTCTTTCTCTTTCTGTTATTTCTGTTACACCTATTAACGATCGTGCTAATCTTTTACAATCGTACAATCGATAAGCGAACCAAACCAAAAAACAAGAAACACATTAAATATTTGTAATGCATGCTGTGAGCTGATGTTCGATAGATTCAGCCAATTTTCAACTATTATCATCCACGTTCAATTAAGAATTTTTTTATTCAAAGCCAGACACAAGTTTGCGAATATCAGTAGGTAGAATAATTAATCAATTATAAATAATAATCTCTAATAAAATCCACATCCATTATCACTTTGCTTCATGCGCACACCCTCAGTACTGATATGAAATATTGAAGAGAAAACTTGAGAAATAACAATTGTAGTATTCATAACTTTTGAATGAAAAAATACTCATGAAAGTTTTTGTAAATGGTTATTTTCCACATTTCCAAGTTTGTTATTTTATTTATTCATTTTTTGGCAGAACAGTTCTTAAAAGACTTGATGGTTTAATAGCGAAGTAGGTTTTATCTTCAGAGAAGAAATCCTAAAAAAAAGGAATAAAAATTAACTTTTATTATACTCTTCGCCCACGACTTTTGCTTAGTTAATCAGCTTATATATGCTCTGTTACGCAAATGATTCCACTTACTTTACATTCTGATATTCGTTCGTTCATCAAAAGATATGTGACATTTCTGGTTTTTACGCTTGAAATATCTACCCTTTGTGAATTATGGCCAAGTCACTCATGTCTCACCTCAGACATTCTGAATGACATGGGTGGAGGCGTAACGAATCATTAATATGCCGTTCTGCTACAATCGGGTTTCACCGCTTTAAGTTAGATAATTTCGCGAATTAAAATTTATTAAAAAAACGTTCATTATAAGAAGATACACTACACTAGCAATATTTCGTGTACATTAGTTTGAAATTAATGTACACATATCTTTCACTATTTTTATAAATATGTAATGCAATACTTCACAAATATTCAAAATTTCTGGAATTAAGTTGTGTAGTAAGGCTATTGGGCTCTATTGATTTGGAGTGGCAACCGGTCTAGGAGAAAGAAAACTGAATTAAAAACAACCTTAATAAGGATGAACTCAATGAGGCTATATTATCCTAAACCCACTACTGCTGCCATGACAAAACAGGATATGGGGTGCCTCAACGGAGGTAACAGATTAATGAAAATGTGATTTATATGAACTTTAGTGGTAAACGTTTAAAATATTAAAATAAGCTCTAAAATAGCAGTGATATATCTTAAATCGGTATAAGTTTTCAATAATCTCGAGTAATATTTAAATTCTAATTTCCCCAGCCAACATTAGTGAAATTATCTGATTATGCTTAACAATATTCCCAACAAAACATGATTACCCAAAGCTGAAACACATTGTCTCCTATAAATACATAATATTCCACATTGGTGCTTATCAGGAAAATAATGTGTTTCTAAGAGATGAATAAAATATGTCTTAATTTGCACTTTAGAGCCAATTTCTACAGGAAGCAATCATACTGTAACTGATGCAAAATATATAGAAATATTTTAGTTAATAATGTGTAAGAAGAGTGCCTAACGTAAACATTTGGTGAAGAAAATTGTATCAATTTTAACAAGCACTTGAAACTGCAGCATTCCATTGGATGCAAACTTTGAGATTTGCAGAAAATGTAAACATCATTAATATCTCAGTTACTGACCAAATACAGAGATCTCGTGATATCTGACGACACATATATTTATAACAATGTTTGGTGAGGATATATTAACTGTAAAAACGCACACACTGATATTGGGAATAGGATAAATTAGTTGTACTAATATTTAAAGTAGAATGCCTTTCTACATTTAGAATTACCATTGAAATTTTAGGCCTTCTTTACTGAGCAAGAAAACTTGTCACTGTTGCTGGGTGAATATATGGACGTATTAGAGTCACAAAGTAGACTCTTAGATACGCAGCGGAGAAAAAGTGTCAAACAGGTAACATAGAAATGTGTGTACCAGGTTTGCAAGTGCGGTCTACATTTGAAGAGAAAACTAAATCTTCAGTTACACTTATCTATTACTGTGATCCTATTTGCAGCGCAAGTCGATAACTGGAAACGCAATTTAGAAATTCTGGGAGGTGAAGAGAAAAGTATTAAAAAAAAAACAACCTAAAACAATAGAAACAGTTTTAACTTTCTACATGTAAAAAAAAAAGTTCAATATTAACAATCGGAAATGATCTGCTTTAAACAGTATGAAATGACACGCGTAGCCAATTATATTTAATAGCAAATTCCTTCACCACGATTTGATTCGTTCTCTTATCAAACACGTATTTTTGTTTCTCTTGCACATTCAAAATTCTCTGTCTCTCCCTCTCTCTCTCTCTCTCTCTATATATATATATATATATATATATATATATATATATATATATATATATATATATATATATATTCATTTTGTTTCAGGACCTCCGGTGTCTAATAAGACACCGGAGGTGTTTAAACAAAATTGCTATTTTTGTAGTGATTTTATAACATATTTAGGTTATAATATTTAAATAAATAATTATATCTGCCCCTACTCTTTTTTAGTAATTGTTGGTTATTGGAATTTATTCCGTATAAACCAATCATATACTTAGGTATATATATATATATATATATATATATATATATATATATATATATTCAGACATGTATTATTAAATATAAAAAAAACAAAGTCTCTTATGTTTTATCAGGAGCGGTTGTCTGTTTACTGATCTGCTGCTCCTCTACACCAAATATTCACACACACACACAAACACAAACACACACACATATGTGTGTGTGTGTATGTATGTTTAAATTTTTACTCCATCTGTCCTTTCTCGCATTTGGATATATATATATATATATATGTGTGTGTGTGCCTTCATTTCATTAATGCGAACTCATTTTAAAATATAGCTTACAAATATACGTCGATAAAATTTCCACATGAATGGCTCCCTTTGACAATAATTAATATTTAAAAAAAAACACAGTTATTAGATCATTTCTATTAGTTTGATATGGTTTAATCCAAAGCGTGTCGTGGCTGGCAACCTACCTGATCTAAATACTAGCCTGAAAACATAAACCAAGGAATTTAATTGGGTCGAATAAAAAATGAACACTTTATTTAACAAGACAGAAACGTAGAAAGATTTTTATAATGATGTAATGGTAACTGAGTGAGAAAAAGCGATGTAATTCTAGAAATGTCCTCCAGTTATTGACATTGTTCAAGTTCAGGTTAAATTGCCTCTTTAAAAGGCCTGTGAATTTCAAATGGCTGTTTGCTATCTAT